CCCTTTGTCCTGGGCTGACCACTTCAAAGGAAGGTTTATTTCCTCAGCATGGTCACCCTTTACTTAAAGGGTAGTTACTGGTTGGAAAGGAATGCATGTAAAATGTGCTTACATACGGCCAAATTGTCTTCAGAAAAGATGGTGCCATATTTAGTCTCTTGTTCCCCTGCACCCTCCCCGACACAGAGCATGACCATTGCTTTAGCCAATGTGATGCCTGAAAACGCATTTCAATTTTAGTGGTCTTCCTTCTATTCTCTTTAATTATTGCTGACCTATTTAATGAAGTAATTTGCTTTCAACTTTTTTTTTTTTTTTGCGAATTGGGTGAATGTTTACAGAGCAAACCAGTTTTCATACACATTTTGCTTCATGACATTGATTATAGTGCGTCCCGCAAATGAACATTTTCTTGCTACCTCGTTCCCTCATTCATAGCGATCAAGTCCATTCTGATGGCTGGCAGCCCCCAGACAGGGTAGAACTGCCCCTGGGCGCTTCCCAGACTGTAAATCTTTACAGGACTGGAAAGATGCATCTTTCTCCCACAGAGTAGCTGTTGGTTTCAAACTTCTGACCTTGTGGTTACTAGCCCAACACATCACCACGATGCCACCAAGGCTCCTTCTATAATGTATTGCAACGGCCACGCCAAACTCACAGACCCTATTCATAGAAGGTGGGAATCCTTGGCATTTGGACTTATCATGACTGGTAAATCCGTCCAAGGTTTCTGCCTGGAACGGACGGTCTGCCCTCGCCTCTGACCTCATCATGTTGACGTCTTGTCATGCTCTCCGGCTCTTCCTTGGTTACAGGTCAGAGTTTGCCATGGTGATGGCTTCCTGGTTCCTGGGCTGGTTTGCCGTCTTTAAGTGCCTTTTTTTCATGTCGAAAATGGGGACAGTTATACCCTTCTCTGCAGGGCGGTGCTGAGAATAATGCATGGCCTCTGGTATAATGTTTGGCACCTCCTAGGTGTGCATGTTGATATTTACAACACAGATTGGGGAAAGGAGCATGATGGAGAAACAGCTAACAACACAGATAGAGGGAGCTTTTTCATACCTACCCCTTGCCATAGGGACGTAAAATAAGTGGAGCTGCGAAGGAAGCTGCAGGTCAAAGAGAGGACAGCACTTGTGAAACACGATACTAGTGACATAGGGGCAGGGGTTGTTGGCAAAGGTTTTGTGGAAGAGAAGTTGCTGAGCCTTGGGAATTGACAGAGCATTAGCAGGGCCAGGAACTCGAATGTGGGGTGGAGAGCAGCATCCCCCCAGCTGATGTTCTCTGAGGCTGCTGCAGGAAAATCAGGGACCCCTGGATACGCCCCGTGCTGGCCTCATCCCTAGCGCAGTGACCTGGAGGATAGCTTCCTTTTGCTATCTTCGCAGCATCCATTCGTGCACCTGTCACAGCGCTCATGGTGATGACGGACTGTGGTGTGTCTGTCGCTGTGAGTCCCTTGAGGACTGGGGCTGTGCTGAAAGGACTTAGCATAATACTGTATATATGCATGCAAAATCCCAAAACACAGTACCATGGAGTGGGTCCTGACTCACAGTGACCCGAGCTACATATGGTTTGTGAGGCTGCAAATCTCCCTGGGAGCAGACAGCCTCATCTTTCTCCTTTGGAGCAACTGGTTGGTTTGAACCACAAGTTTGTGATTAGCCTTACAATAATTTACCCAACAGTGCCCGCAGGGTTCCCCACTCACTGCCAACGAGTTGATTTTTGAGACAAACTTTATGGGTGTAGTAGTAGAAAGCCTCATCTGTCTCCCGTGGAGCAACTGCTGGTATCGAACTGCTGACCTTGCAGTTAGCAGCCTGAGTTAGTCCGGGTTGACTAGAGAAACAAATTCATAGATGTGTGTAAGAGAGAACTTTATATCAAAGAGCAATTGTTCATTAAGAAAGCATTGCAGATCAAGTCCATAAGTCTGATATCACCCGCATGTCGATACTAGTCTATAAATTCCTCTTTAGACTCACACAGCCATCCAGTGATGCTATGCAGGAAGATCACAGTCTAGTGGGTGGAAAGTCTTGTGGATCCAGTGGTGGTGAAAGCATCTCAGCACTGGCGTGGGTCTCCACATGGCTCCTCCAGTTCCTGGGTTGTGGCTCCATCAGTGCAGCTCCATCTGGCTTATCAACAGGAATGTCTCGCAGGGAGATAGTGTGTGTCTGGCCTCCAGTGAGCTATTTATCTCCTTAGTGCCTCCAAATGGGTTATCAAGCTGCGACCTGAGTGACAGGCTAGACTCCACCCCTTTACTCTTAATAGTCTCAAGTTGACACTGGGTTATGTAACTGCCACACAGCCCAACTGGGAATCCACTAGGCCACCAGGGCTCCTGCATACAAACAAGGCTCCCAATAAATGTAAATCCGTTGTTACTGAGTTACCCCATGTGTGTTAATAGAACTGTGCTCTGTACGGTTTTCAGTGACTAGTTTTTGAGCAGTCCCTCACCAGGCCTTTCTTCCAAGGTGCCTCTACTGGGCTGGAACCACAGGACCTCCATCCAGTAAACAGAAGTAAACAAAAGGAAAGGGGATAGTGGATTTAGGCAACCTTATCTTTCTTGGGCTTCAGTTTCTCATTAAATTGGATTGCTGCTTGTGAATGTTCCTCTGAATGTTCACTTGGAGGCTGTGTTTCAGAACCTCAGCTGTACAGGGGCTTGAGGGATCCTACATCTGGCTCTCTGTGATCAAGGCCTGGCTGGCCCCAGCCCACGAGAAGGCATGGAACCTGCTTCTAAACTCCCCTGGGAAAGAATTCTGCAGTCTCTCCTGAACGATCCCGGCTCCGGTGCTCAGAAACCCTGATGACCTAAATAGTCCATGCTTCAGCATTCTCTCCTTTCCCCTTCTTCCCTGCGTGGACGTGAATTGCGCCTGCTTCTCTGGTAGGACGTGCTCGATAGTTTACTCTACCTGTACAAACTTGCTCCAGGCCCTGCGGGTGCACAGTCAATCCGTGTGGGCCTTCACCCTGGGAACCGCCGTCATGTGGCTGATTCCCGTGTCCAGAATCCAGGCAGTGGGGAGGGGAGAAATGAGAAGGTTCTGGTTGGATCCAGGTAAGTTCTGCCATGAGGAGAATGCAGAGGCTCACACTGGCGGCTGCCAGATCAGACTCGGGAGGAACCTGCAAGCCGTCTGCTCCGACCCTCTCCTTGTGCGCATGGAGACCAGGGGTAGGGAGTGATTGGACTTGTCTACAGGGACCGGCTTGCTGCTGCCAGACCTACGACTAGAACTCTGGCCGTGGGATTGATTGCCACGGGGTGTTTTTACACTGGCTGTCTTTGCTTTCTGGGGCGGAGTACAGACTGCTGAGTATTTTGGGGCTCCTCGTTTGCTATTTGGGCAAGAATAAGACCTGGTTCTGGGAAGATGCCAGAAGATTCTATATGAGCCTAAAAGGACCATCCTGGGGGATGGCTTGCCCACTTGAAGGGTCTGTGATGGATTTTAAGACTCATTTGTTACATGTGCACCTTTGCAGTCGAATATCGTCTGGGTTGCTGAGCAAATAAATCGCAGTTGATGGTTCTCTCCTGCTGCCCCTTTCTTGGATTTCAGGTTTAGGAAATGTTCCTCCCACCATTGTGTCTTTCATTCACTTAGAAAGCCGTCTATTCAACCAGGTTAGCGAGTCCCGGCCTGGGTTCTAACTCGTAACAACGCTATAGGGTAGAGTAGAACTGCCCATGTCAGTTTCCAAGTCTGTAAGGTTTTTTGTTTTTTTAATTTATTATTAATGGGAGTTAATACATAGAGGCTATAAGTCTTTAGGGAAGCAGAAAGCCTCATCTTTTCCCCTCCAAGTAGCTAGTGAGTTTTAACCACCAACCTCTTGGCTAGCAACCTAAGGCCACCAGGGATCCTAGTGCCTGGCTTAGGAACCTTTAAAGAGTTAGAGCTGCCTCTACCCTCCAGGACCTCGTTATCTGTGGAGAAGGTGATGTCAGTTGAGTGGACCAGACATTACCTTTCCCATTTCATTATCTCTTCCCGCATCAGAGGGGACGGAAGCTCGGGTTCACAACTAGCTCGTAGCTAGTGAGGGAAGGAGCTTGGATTTGAATCCTGGCCAGACAGATGACAGACTTTGAAGATATCCCTTCTAGCATATATTCAAATTCAGTCAGCACCCAGGAACGGTCACTTTGGGCAAAGCAGCATGCAGGAATAGAGAACTCACCGAGATGAACAGGCCATGGTTTCTGACTTCCTGTATGGGTCTGGCACTCACTGAGAATCCATTAAGGATATGCACCACTTAGCTGGTCCTGGGTGCTCCTCCTGGCAGTGGGTGGTGTGGTGCACTCCAGGGAGAGACGGGCCTGCTGTCTAGAGCCCCAGAGTGGGTGCTGAGTGTGCCACGTGAGCACTTGGCGTCCTAGCACTGTGGAGCCTCCAGTTGGGCAGATGGTTAATGCTCTGGATTGGTAATGGGCAGGTTAGAGGCTGGACCCAACCAACAGGTACTTAGGAAGATAGACCTGGTGGTGCACTTCCAAAGAACCGGCCATTGTAAACCTTCTGGAGCCCTGTTCTACTACGACACATAGGGGTCGCCATGAGTTAGTTTTTCTGGTTTTGAGCTACATAGTCTCCTCAACTCTCAGTGAAGAGGATGTGACTCTTAGCCCACAGCTCTCTGACTTGTTGCAGGGATTCCAAACTAGCCTGTGCGCAGGCTATGAACCTGTCCGCGCGGGTCTGGGAATGAGTCAAGGTTTCGAGGTGGTGCGAATGGCGTTAGTTGGTGGTTATTCCCCCCTCGCAGCTCTGGAAGAAAGACCTGGTGATCGACTGCCACCGAGATCACAGGCAAGAAAACCACATGGGAGCAGCCCTGCTCTGTCACGTGGGTCAGAATTGACAGTGGTGGGTAGTAGGGGAATGAGTCGATTTTCCTGTGGGAATATGAATCTCAAGTGAACTCTCTGGACCTTGGTGTCTCCCCTGCCTCAGGACTGCGAAGGCCTTATCGTCCGCTCGGCCACCAAGGTGACTGCGGATGTCATCAACGCTGCAGACAAGCTCCAGGTGGTGGGCAGGGCCGGCACGGGCGTGGACAATGTGGACCTGGAGGCTGCCACCAGGAAGGGTGTCCTGGTCATGAAGTAAGTCAGGGAGCCTGAGGGGTTGGTGTGGATCTTGACAGAGAGAAAGCCATGTCTGATTGAGCGGAGCGGGGCAGCTGAGGGGGGCGCTGGGTCTTGGCCCCTGAGTCCAGAGGTACGATCAACGTCCAGAGCTTAGTGGTTCTCGGCCATTGGAAGTAGGGGCTCTTGGTGCTCTCACAAGGTGCCACCCCCTTACCCCATGTGCAGCCCAGCTGGGGAGTGAGGAAGACGTTCGTGAATACAGCTGCTTTCCCTGTACGCCTCCACCTCTTGCTCCGTTCATGGTCAGGTTTTGTAGAAGCTCTGCCTTATTCCACCTTGAACGAAGATGCTGCTGCTGCCGGTAATAGGAGTCCACACCCTTCCTCTTCCTCCCTGCCCCACAGGGAGCCTAGTCACCACCCCAGCTCTTTCTTCGCGCCCTGTGCCGAGAAGTGTTGCTTTGCAGAAGCCCGGCATACCAGCACAGAGCCCTCTCGTTTCTGGCTCCCGTTCTGGGGCCTTGCTGGTGGGACAGGCTGTTTATCCCCTGTCTGTGCCCCCACCCTTGAGCCTGTACCCATCTCTTGAGGTCCTCACTGTCCTCAAGGCCTTGCCCCTCCCCTGCTCTCCACGTGCCCCTGTAGGGTAGCAGGTAGCTGGCCTGTCGTTGGCCTTGGTCAATAACAGACAGGCACAAGGTTAAACAGTAACGTTCTTTCTTGCCCTAGACACAGCCAGCCCCCAGGCCCCGCTCCTCACGCCTCCCCTTCTAAGCTGGTGGTAGGGGGAGAGCCGGAAGTCAGACCTCTTGTGGGAAAAGACTGACACTGACAATCCTCTCATGTCTCCAGTAGCATCACTTGACTTTTTCTCCATGCACCCTTAGTTTCCAGGGGTGAACAGACCTAATGGGGTAGGAGAGTGGATCTGTGTGTTAAACTCTTCCCAGCACGGGACTTGGAGAAAAGGATGAGCTTTGTGGGTGGCCACCTCTATTCTCCTTCCTGTAAAATGGGGAGAGCCAACCTAGCCCTGGGGCTGGGGTATGAGGAGGCTAGTAACACCCTTCTCCATTCCGGACTTACTGTGAGCGGAGCAGACGAAGAGCCGGAGGTCAAAAAAGCAGCATGGTTACTGCCAAACGTAATGTGGTGGGCATCTGTGGCAAAGTAGACAGACTCACCCACTCACCGAGGAGCCCTGGTGGCACTGAGTGATGGATGCCTTGGGCTGCTAGCCAACCACAGAGCCGGTGGTTCGAAACCCACCAGCTGCTCTGCAGGAACAAGCTGAGGCTGTCTCCAGCCTCGGAAACCCTATGGAGCAAAGCAACTCTGCCCCATTAGGGTCACTATGCAGTGGAATCAACTGGGTGACTGTGGGCTACCCGCCCATCCCATGAACCCTGGTGCCACAATGGTTAAGCACTCAGCTGCTCAATGGAAGGCGTTTGAAACCCACACTGAGGGAGGCTCTGGGAGAGGAAAAGTACAAGCCGCTCCCCCAAAGATGGGCAAGTCTATTGCAGTGTGACTGGGCCACTGTGGGCCAGAGTCAACTTGACTTTACCTAACAAGCCCCACCACCCATCCCTCACAGGAACAGACCTAGTAAGACATGGCATGGTGCTCGGAGGATCCTGTGCCTTCTGCAGGTAGGGATGTCTGTAAGAAGCACCGCGGAAGGGCGGAGCCACATGTAGCTCTCCCAATCTCGTGGGGCAGGAGTGGGCGTCCTGGGTCTGGGTGCACTGATGTATCCCCTCTTGCCTTTGGTCTTTAGCACCCCCAACGGGAACAGCCTCAGTGCTGCGGAGCTCACCTGTGGGATGATCATGTGCCTGGCCAGGTAAGCCCCGCCCTTCTCAGAAAGCCTGTCCGTCCAGTGGCTCCTGACTGGCCAAGCACACCGACCCCGGGAAGTAGACTTTTAGCTTGGGGATGCTCACAGCGCTGAGAACCTTCAGGCGATAAGTCTTTCTGCGGAACATTCAGTACACTGGTTCCCTCCACATCCAGAGGTCAACAGCTCCTCAGTTTCCTGGTGATTACGAATGGAGAGAGGAGGGGGAGAGGCAGGTCTGCTACTCAGAACCCAGGGACATGACTGCTCCCTGACGGAACCCTTTCTGTTACTCTGTGCTCATTTTTCCGTCTGGACATCCATCCTATACTGTAGCCAGAGCAGTAGGTCTCTGAGCACCCGGCCTTCACCGGTCTCTATGCTTTGCAGTTACTGTTGGAGCCTCTCCTCCTGCAGTCTTTGTGTAGGCAACCTGAGTTTGTCCTTTAAGATTAAGCTTAAGTGTTATACAAGGAGCCCTAAAAAAGAAAAAATAATTAAAAAATGACCCATGGTGGTGTAGTGGTTACAATGTTGGGCTGCTAACTGCAAGGTCAGCTTTTTCAAAACCACCAGCTGCACTGCGGGAGACAAATGAGACTTTCTACTCCCATACAGAGAGTTAACAGTCTTGGAAACTCAAAGAGGCGGTTGCACCCTGCCTATAGGGTTGCTGCGAGTTGGCATTGACTCGACGGCAGTGCGTGTTTTTGTTGCTGCTGTTGTTTCATACATAGAGCTATGTTCCCACGGACTCCTAAGGCCCTCACACTCTGTCACTCTTCTTACAAGTCCAAATTGTAATTCAGTGAGACAAAAAGCTGCCTTGCCTGGGGACTCTCTGTGCCTGCCTATGAATTGACATTGGACTCTGATATTTAGAGAATTGCAGTGTGGCTGGAGAGCAGGTGAGCAGGGCCTCTCAGTGGGGGACTTTGAACTGGTAGCATGAATTTCTGGAGTGTCGCGACTCTAGGAGGCTGGATGAAACAGTGGCCAAAGGAAGAGAAGTGCCACAATAAGGAAAAAATAAGTGCCGAGACTGTGTATATGTAAGCACACACCTCGAGACTGTGTATATGTAAGCACACACCTCGAG